CCTTGGAAGCCCTGTACAGGATGGCTATGAGTTGGAACCATGTGGGAGAGCCGGGTTTGACTCCTACTTGATGCGATTCATGTACAACCACCGCCCACCCATCCGTGGAGCTTTGGGACTAAGATGAACTACGAAGAAAGGTCTGGAAATATGCTTCTGAAAATTAGCCAATGAAAACCCTGTGGATCTCAACCAATCATGGGAATGACACAGGATCAGGCAACATTTCATTCAGTTGTGCATGGGGTAGCCATGAGTCAGGCCAACTGTCGGCAGCTCAACAACCACACCACCACAAACAGAAATGGAGAAAGTAGAGCGAGGGCAGACCTGGGGCCTTCGGGTTCTCACATCTGTCCTTTGAGAGATCAGTTTTTGCCCTTGGGTTGTTACAATAATAAAGTTCGTTTTTTCCCTAGGCTGGCTTCTGTTTAATGAACGCTGCTTCCCACCTCCCTTCCCCCACTGGCACCCAGATTGCCTCACACCACAGGGAGCAACTTTACCATGAACCTTCATGACCTAAAAACCTCAGCGAAGTACCATGGGGTGATTCCTGGGACAGCCTGCCCCATAGCGACGTTAAGCTCGGACCCTGGTTCAGGAAAGGAAAAACTACTCCTGTGTGTAAGAACCAAAATTACTCATTTGTTAAATACTGATGAATTCTGAAGTTACAGGACAATGTTTTTACTTTTAAATCCCAGAGTGGTAGCAGGCATTTTGCTTACAATCAATAACAGATGATTATTGTTTGTGAGGAATCAATTAAATAGCATAATGGTATGGAATTAAAAATATTTTCCCCATCAGTTACTATACAAAAGTCCAATGACATCACCTTTGCTCCTCTTTTTTAAATTAATTTTGCCATGGTGTTACAGATTGAACTGTGCCCCCCAAGAATGGAATCTTGTTTGGAAATCGGGTGTTTAAAGATGTTATCAGTAAACATGGGGTCATATTGAAATAGAGAGGGTCCTAATCCATCTGGGTGGTTGCTGCTCAATTTCTAAGTGCCATGAAGTCAGTTCCCACTCGTAGTGACACCGAATAGGGTTTCCGAAGAACGCCTGGTGAGTTTGAACCGCCAAACTTGCATTTCAAACCGAACTTGTGGTCCAGTCCAGTGCTGAGCCTACAACACATCTGGATGGAGTCATCATGAAAGAGGAGAAGACACGAGGAGAGGCAGACAGAGGAAAGACAGCCCTGTGAAGACAGAGGCAGAGTTGCATCTGTGTTGCAGCGCTAAGCCAAGGCCTGCCTGAGGCTACCAGAAACCAGGAGCAGTGCAAAGGGACCTTCCACTAAAGCCTTCAAAGAGAAGATGGCCCTGTTGGTGCCTTGATTTAGACTTCTAGTCTCCGGAACTCTGAGATTATACATCTCTTTAAAAGCCACCCACTTTGTGGTACTTTGTTATAGCATCTCCTATGAAAGGAAATACGCTTTTCCTTGATGGATAGCTAACTCTAAACGGGCTTTCTTGAGCATGACCAATGCAAAGAGCTACATTTTACAGCATGTCCCTGTGCCCAGATACACACGAATGCAGGTATAATAGCAAAATATTTAACAGTGGGATATCATGAGATGTCAGCAACCGAATAGATCACCACGTTTATATATGCGTGTAATATCATCAGTACATGTTTCAAGAAGTAAAAATACTTGCAGCATTTACCTAAGAACAAAATCCAGAAGGATGAGGAAAGTAGGAGGAATGGAAACCAGAAGGACATGGAATATGTAGAGTGTGTGAAGTGACATTGAAGTAACATGTTACTTCATGTTCAACGACACGCAGTGTTAAGATTAGTTGAATACAAATCTAATGATCTGCTCTAGAAAGCCTCACTTACTTTACAATGAAGAGTCAAAATTAAGTAAACACTTCACTATTTACAGACAGATGTTCTTTAGCTAGAAGTATGGAGAGATTTCAACTTGTTTACTCTAGGTATTACATTAGGAAGAAGACACTGGCTAGAGACACTGTATTTGGTACAGTGTGGGTGAGTGAAGAGAGGGAAACTCTCAATGTGATGAACTGACACAATTATTAACACAACAGTTGCAACACTGGACTCAACCCTTCAACGAGCATGGAGACAGCGCAGGACAGGACGGCATTCCATTCTCAGACACAGGAGGTGGCCACGTGTCAGCCAACTAACAAATACAATCTGAATGCTCGCCAACGCTTACTATTCCGTTCTGTTTCATTTTGTTAGACTGCTGTGATGCTGGTGAGAAGCAACTGGTATATTCCATGTGTATACGAATGTGTGTGCACCAGGGTAAGTCAAAAAGTACAAGAGGAAGCTTGACAGAGGAAAGATGAAGGTAGCAGGAGACAAAGGCAGGCGTGTAAAAGTTCAAGTGAACAGAGGTAAACACTGTTAACTGATGGTACGTGGAAGGGATTGCAATCATTGTAATGAAGCAAAGTATATGCTTTATTGAATGCAAAACGGATGATCTGCTCTGTAAACCTTCACTCAAGTCACAATACAAAATTTTTTTTAAAAAAAGTATTGCTACAAGATCTTCGAAACCATTATGAAACAAAGCCTTTAACCCTTCCTTGAACACTTCTGCACCCTTTGATTTACACCATGTCAAAACGGCAGTTTGGGTATCTGCGAGAGATTCAAACTGTGTTCCTTTTCAATGTTCTTTAAGTTTAGAGAACAAAAAGAAGCCTGAAGGGGCCTGATCAGGGCTATAGGGTGGGTGGGGTCAGGGTTCCTGAGGAAACAGGCCCAGGACAGCCCTTGTTACACCCGCAGGACACCCTTGCTACTCTTGCAGATTCCTCCAGACGCCACTGTTTAGACTGAACTTTTTTCTGAAGGCACACTAATGAGACTGGTGTTGTTGTTAAGTGCCATCAAGTGGGTTCCAACTCACAGCAACCGTGTATATATAGGGTTTCCAAGGAGTGGCTGGTGGATTTGAACCGCTGATCTTGCAGTTCAAACCAACCTTGAGGTCCAGTGCATTACACCACAGCACCATGCCAGGACTCTCAGAAACCCTATACAGCGTCGCTATGAGTCGAACAGACTCAGTGACACTTAACAAAGTAATAAAAGGACTTCTGAGGTGATACGGTAGGATAAGCGCAAGATGGCTGAGTTGGAACCAATTCATTTTTTTCACTAAGAACAAAGTAAAAAAACAACAACACTGTTTTAAACCAACAAAACTCTCCCATCTTAACAAGTACACATTTCAGATCCAGAATTTAAGGCCCCGGCAAGAGTGTGGAAACAAGAAACAGTCCCAACTTAGCAGCCAGCAAAAGGAAATGTCCATCCCTTCTGGCAGGCAAGGAAAGGAGGGTGGGGTGTTAGGCTGGCCACTTACCTTAAAGTGGAAGGAACTCGCTGGAGACCCACTGGACTCAAACGGCTGACTTTTTGTTAGGTTGCGGTGGTAGTTATTAACCTTGAAATTGGCATTCTGGTTAGATCTGGGGTCATCAGTGATGGGACAGATGAAGTAACCTTCCTCATCATCGCTGTCTGCATCAGAATTACCATCGTGGCCAGCCCCGGAGGCCTGGCTGCCACCAACACCTTCCAAGCGGAAGATGAGGTCTTCATCTGCCATGGTGCTGGATTGCTTGGTTTACCCACGAGGTTAGCGGCACAGCCAGAGTTACTGGGCAAATGCAGTCTGGAGGGTTCTGCAAGGGAAAGAAAGGCACGAGTGGGTGACGAAGCCAAAGGAGCCTGCTGGGCACCTCACCCTGTGTGCTGCTGGCAACAGCCAAGCACCCACACCTCAGAGTAAAGCCTAGAGCTGTCTTTCAAGGAGACAGCTGGCAGTATCGTGGAACATTTTAGGTGGAGAAACTTGTCAGCCCAGTCATTCTACTTCTAAGAACTCAGCATTGGAAAGTGGGAGCAGGGTTGGCAAAGTAAATACTGCTTAAGCAATATGAGTGATCTTTTAAGAAGACAAATTAGAGCAAGTCACTCTCCAATAGTGTCCCTGAACAATAGGGACAAAATCTGAACACCATATTAAGATCCGTGCCTTCCGTAATCTGGTCCCTGCCTAGCTGCCCTGCGGCATGGCTGCTCTCCAGGTACGGCCAGCTCATTCTTACCCCAGAGCCTGTTCCCTTTGGCTGGAACCACCTTGCCAATCTTCCTACAGTGGATTCTTTCTCATCATTTGGATGATAGCTCAAAAGTCATTTTTTCTAGAGGTCATTTCTAAGCCCCCAAACAACATCCTCTCTTTCATTGTCTTCATAGTGTGTGCCCCAGCTGAAATCACCTCATTTGCTTTTTTATTGTCTATCTCCTTAGTGTCTCAAAGAGAACCTGATTACATTATGTGCGCTCAGTATACCTGCCTAGAATGAGTGACCATACCGATGTTCTTTGTTGACGTTGTTACGTGCCGCCAACCTGATTCTGAGCCAGGGTGTAGGGTTTCTGAGGAGTGGCTGGTGGGTTTGAACCGCCAACCTTGCTTTCAGAGTCCAGTGCCTCTCTTATAGGGCCACACCAGGACTCCAGCAATAACACTGTAAGTAACAGCAAAAAACAAATGCCATCCGCACAAGATGACTATCAAGGAGGTTTGTTACATAAACTACAATGTTTCTATACTATGAAATATTTTGTGATTGGTAGTGTGTCTCGAGCAGCTATCTGACATACACTTCCCTAAAGGAGTCCTGGTGAGGCACTGTAAGATAAGGCACTGGACTACAAGGCTGGTTTGAACCACAAGGTCAGTGGTTCAAACTCACCAGCCACTCCTTGGTAACCCTATACAAGGTCGCTATGTCGGAACCGACTTGACAGCACTTAACAATGATGTCAAAGTAAAACAATTAACCAAACTCTCCAATTTTAACAAGTGGCATTTAACAACATACTCACATCCAGAATGTAGAATATCGGCAAGAGTTTGGAAACACAGGGACAGATTCTAGCTGTCCATGGATACCTTTCAAAGACAGTCAAAGAAGACTTCAGCAAGATTGTTGTTGTTGTTGTGTGCCGTCAAGTCGGTTCCGACTCATGGCGATCCTGTACAGGGTTTCCGAGGCTGTAAACCTTTACGGGAGCAGAAAGCCTCATCTTTCTCCCGTGGAGCAGCTGGTAGTTTCGGACTGCTGACCTTAAGGTTCACAGCCCGATTCATAACCACTACGCTACCAGAGCTCCTTTCAGCAAGATTACAGTAAACAACTTTGACAAGATGGCAGGCTAGGCAGTCACTACACAGACCCTCTACAACAAAGATGTTGTTAAGTGCCGTTGAGTCAGTTCTGAGTCATGGCGACTGTGTATAGGGTCTCCAAGGAGTGACCGGTGAGCCTGAACCGCTGAACTTGTAGTTCAAACCAACCTTGCAGTCCAGCCCATTAATCCACAGCGCCACACCAGGACTCCACGACAAAAATGTTGTTGTTGTTAAATGCTGTTGAGTCAATTCTGACCCATAGCGATCCTGAATAGGGTTTCCAAGGAGCAGCTGCTCAGACCCTGGCAGTTGAAAGGCCTTTGCAGACTGACCCATTAGCACACAGCAGGACTCCCACAACACAGATAACCAGAGACAAAATACAGCAAACACAGAGGAAGTCTCTCCTCTCTGGTCCAGCAACTGTTTGTTTTTAAAAATACAACAATCCCACAATGTCTCCGAAACAATAGGCAATTTTAGCTCACACACAAAAACAAGAGAGAATGGCTCATATAACCAAGATGCAGAGTCAGATAACGTTTCTATAGAAGAAAAAGTAATGGAATTAATGAAGGAGAATGCAAAAGAATGATAATTAAGTACTTTTCAAGGGACTGACAGAGCAAAGAAAGCAAGGAAAACAAAATAAAAACTTTAGGAAAACACTATAAGAGCAAACAGACAAAAATAAATGCAAATTTTGAAGCAATACAAAACCTGCCATTAGAATTCCAGATAATAAATTAACACTAAGATCTCAGAAAATAATAGACTGAAAAGGCAAAGGAATAGATGCAAAGCAATGGAATCCCAAATTAGTGAGCTTGAAGATAAATCTCTCAATACTAGTATGCTAGAAGAACAGTAAGAAAAGAATGAAAAAGTCTTGACAAAAGCTTAGGAGTTATGTGGGACACCCTAAAGAGGAAGAACTTATGGGTGACAGGAATTCCAGAACAGGAATAGAAAAGCACAGACACAATTATCAAAGAGTTGTTGGAAGAAAAACTTCCCTAACATCATGAAAGACGAGAAGATAAGTATATATAAGAAGCTGAACAAATTCTAAACAGGATAGATCCCAAAAGAAAATCACCAATGCAGATCATAATCAAATTTTACAAAACTAAAGACAAGGAAAGAATCCCGATAGCAGCATGGGAAAAACTATTGGTTATCTACAACGGAGAACCATTAAGACTAAGCTCTGGTTTCTTAGCAGAAACCATGCTGGCAAGAAGCAATCGAATGACATATACAAAATTTTGAAAGAAAAAAATTGCCAACCAAGAATCATATAACCAGCAAAGCTGTCCCTCAAATATGGCAGTGAAATTAGGGCATTTCCTGATAAACAGAAATTAAAGGAATTTGTAATGACCAGACTAATTTTACAAAAAATGCTAAAGGATATTCTTTGGATTGAGAACCAACGACAGCAGACAATTTGAGATAACCACACATGACAAAACCACCCAGAACTCAATCCAGATATGAAAGTATTTAAAGTAAAACAAACCTGCAAGACTGAAAATAGGGAACCAGAGATATCAATTTACAATAAAGTCAGGTACAAAGCAAAAAGAGGGACTAGTGTAGATATAGAACTTCCAAATGGTGAGCAAGTCAAGTAGATTTTAATATAAAACAGTTTTAAAAAGGGGAAAAAATTACAAGGTAACCTTATTAACACACCCTCACATTGAAATAAAAAAAGAGGTGTACCATTAACATTTAGTAAATATTAGCACAAAAGAAATGAAAATGGAGAGAAAACCCACAAACAAAATGAGCACAGCGCAGAATATTATGTGGATCAAAGAAACCAGCAGTACCATGAAAAAACACACAGCAAAATGACAGTAATCAGTTTGTACCTATTAATAATTACACTGAATGCAAATGGACTAAATGCACCAGTCAAGAGACAGACAGTAACAGAATAGCTAAGAAAATAGGATTCTTCACTATGCTGTCTATAAGAGTCACACTGTAAACACAAAGAAATAGAGGGAAAATTAAAGAATGGAAAACATAAATCAAGCTAATGGCAATCACAAACAAGCAGGAACGGCAATTTTAATCTGATAAAATAAACTTTGAGGTAAAAACCAGCAGAGACAAAGCAGGCCACTATAACATGATTAAGGGGTCATTTGAAACAACATGTTCCCAATGAAAGAGACTCAAAACACAAAAATCAAACTCTACACCAGTTGCTCCTTGAAAATCCTATACAAGGTCACTATGAGTAGGAAGCAACTCAAGGGCACTTAGCAACAGCAATTAGAACTGAAGAAAGAAATACACAACTCTACAATAATAGTTATTGTTGTTGCTGTCATTAAGTGCCATCAGGATGGTTCCGACTTAGAGCCACCACATACAGGGTTTCCAAGGAGTGGATGATGGGTTTGAACAGTTGACCCTGTGGTTAGCAGTCCAATGATTATCCTTCAGTGCTACACCAAGACTCCATATAATAATTGTTTTTGTTAAATACCATCAAGTCGGCTCCAACTCATAACAACCCTGTACTGGGTTTCTGAGGAGTGGCTGGTGAGCTTAAACAACTGATAGTTTTTGGTTTCAACTGACCTAGAAGTCTAGTGCATTAACCCGCGGCACCACACCAGAACTCCATACAATAATAGTAGGAGATCTTTGTACACCACTTTTGATGAAGGACAGAACGACAAGGAAAAAACTTAAGAAGAACTAAACAACACAATCAACCAACTCGACTTCATAAACATATACAAGGCACTCAACCCAACAACAGCACACAACACATTCTTTTCCAGTGCATATGGAACATTCTTCAGAATAGACCATGTTACTTCACAAAGCAAACCTCAATAAATTAAAAAACATCAAAATACCACAAAGTATCTTCTCAGATCACAATGCTGTAAAACTAGAAATCAGTAATAGGTAGATCAAGGGGGAAATCAAAGACATGGAAATTGAATAACACTGTGCTTGAACATTACTAGGTAGTAGAAGAAATAAAAAATGAAATTAAGAAAAATTCCTTGAATCAATTAAGAATGAAAATACAACACACCAAACCCTTTGGGACACAGCAAATGTTTATGCTCAGACACACAATTTATAGCAATGAATGCACACATCCAAAAAGAAGAAAGCAGGCCTGGTGTGATTCCATCGTGCGTGGCTGTTTTCAGTAGCAGTAATCCTGTTATTTCCGTTTTTCTCTACCACCTAAGCGTGAGCACCACCACTGTATGGAAGATTCGAGGGATATGGACATTTGAGTCCCCTGAGGCTCCCAAGCTATCTTTTTGGTTGTGAACTAAAAGTCGACTGAGATGATCACTTTAAGGTGGATGATGAAAATGAGCAGTTATCTTTAAGAACGGTCGGTCAGTGTAGGGACT